TCAACGTGATAGTTGCTGGAAGAGTCCTCTACTTTGCCCCATAGCGACTTATCAAAACTATGAATTGCCTGGGTACATGCTCTTGCTTTATCTTCAAGTTCACACCCCACCATATTCATTATACTCCACAGGTGAAAGAGACAAAGGGAAAAATAGGACTCCAGCAAAGATGAGAAAGATCTTATTCAGGGTCTGCTTTCTAGTCACAGGTCCTTGGCACCAAGTCCCACTAAAACCAGGATGCACCAGGAAAAAAAAAAAAAAATCCTACATATTAACTTCTATTTCAAACAGCCAATCAGCAGGATAGGATTTTCTTGAGCCAATCAGATTGCATGCTTCTTGTGAACAGCGTACCCCCTGGAAATATGAAGCTCCCAGAGCACCAGAATGGGAGCTCTGGTGGAGCAGTGCCTGACTGCTAACTAGAAGGCTGGCGGTTCAAACCCACGGGCCACTCCTCGAAAGGCAGCCTGGGCAATCTACTTCTGTAGAGATACTGCCTCAGAAACCCAAGGAGGGGTCACTATGATTTGGATCTAATTTGACAGCAGTGAGTTTGGTTTAGTGCACCAGATCAGATGTTTGATATGGCAATGTCTCCAACTATGCCTGCCACCCAACTCCTCCCCACCCAAGGAATGAGAGTCCAAAGAGGCTGGATCTTCTAAGCTCAAGGAGATGGCCCACTGACAATCTCTCCAGGAAAGGCCCTTGGCATTGCCTCACTTTACCATTAGATTCTGGCTTTGGCAACTAACTGGACAGAATGGTGTACTAAAGCAGCATAGTGTAATCAAAACCAAACCCACTGCCATTAAGTTGCTTCCAACTCATAGCAACCTTACAGAATAGGGCAGAAGTGCCCTATAGGGTTTTCATGGCTGTAAATGTACTGTTTCATCTTCTCCTACGGAACAGCTGGAGGGTTTGAACTGCTGATCTTTTGCTTAGCAATTAAATGCCTTAACCACTGTGCTACCAGAGTTCCTCAGTAGGAGATATCAAACCTTTGGAGTCAGAATGCCTGGGACTAAATGTTCACACATCCACCTACCAATTATGTGACCCTGGGCAAAGGTAAATGACTTTTCTCAGCCTTGGATACTCATCTATAAAACAGAACAGATGGCCCATCCCACTGTTACTGTGAGGAGTGAGATAATGTGCGTTAACAGATGGTCCTGTCCTAGCATTTAGTAAACACTAAAATGTTAGCTACTCTGGGATCCCTTACTACCAGAACAATTCACTCCCAGCACCCAGGACAGGAACGGTACAGAATCAGATAAATTTCTGGTCAAATCCTCTATTATCTAAACTTGGTAATTGTTACCTCTGACTCAAAAACAAAAACCATTTGGATAACTTGGTATCCCATATGCCCTTAACTTGCTGTCTGAATTCAGGAACCAAACAAGACTTAGATGGAGAGGGATAATTTCATTATTCAAAGAGCATTAACCGATCTTGCTCTCAAGACCCCAATGACCATCAAACATTCTGAGATGGTGAACCACAGCAAGTGATCCTGACCCATGCCTGCATTTTGTCTGGCTTCAGGGCACATCTTTCCTTTTCAATATGAGTTTAGAATAACTCACACAAAAAACCAAAAATAAACAACTCCCAACTTACTTGGGGTTTGAAACCATCATCTTTTAAGTAAAAACTGATTCTGATGGCTTCAGAATAGGTGATTCTGAATATAATCTGTCTTTAATAGTTATGAGAACCACTTTCCCTGAACAGTATGCTAGATCTATGACATGGTAATTCAGTCAATGGGTATATATGGTTATCAAGTTCTTCCCAGTATTAAGAGGACAAACCTGTTTCCATTTAGCTAGGTGCTGCTCTTTAATCTTAAACATAATCCAAGAAGGTCCTAGTGATAGAACCAACATTAATTTGGGAAACCAAATTAATCTCAAGAGCAAATAATTGCCAAGGAAGACGGGAAAGGGAAAACAACCCTCATTAAAAATTCCTTTTTCACACAAGAGTTTTGTTCTCAGTACTGTTCTAGAGTAAGATCCATAAACAATCCTAAGAATCTAAGGAGAAAGACTTTGAATTAGGAGACAATGAAAGACTATTGGTCTTGGTAGCAAGTCTCTTAAGTCCAAAGACTTAGCCAGGGACTTAGTATATAAGGAACTAAAGACGGGAAGGACTTTTGCTCCCAGAGCAATAAAGAAGGTAACTGGCACCAACCTTCTTTTATCAGAAAGTGGCTTGTCCTTGTGAAGCGCTGTGAAAGGAGCAAGTTGACCCAGTCGCAGCTCCCTCTGAGCCCATTGTGCCCAGGAGGTTTGGTGCAGGGACCCCCTAACAAGCCTTACAGCAGCTTGCGTCAACATGGCAGAATACCCTGGAACTAATGATTACCACCACCTAACAGGAAACACAGAGATGCAGTGTCAGATGTCAGATGGGACAGACAGTAAACACACCCAACCAGGACTCTTCTGCTCTTACTAGGGTGGGGTGGAGTGCTTTGTACTGTATTTTGGTGTCCCATTTAGTAACAGTAACATCGTGCTGAACACCATGACAATGTCTTTTTCAGTCCTGGCTGTGTGTAATAGGTGAGTATTTGTGATCAAAAATCAATAGCAAGTCAATTAATCAATATTTACAAGGAGATATGACCACACTGATTACAACATTGTAGAAACTGGGAGCCAGGATGTAAAAGAGTGTTTCTGAAGCTCTTGAAGCATGCTTTCTCTCCCAGGGGTGAAATACCTGGTAGCAAAGATGGCAATGGGAAATATGGAAAATGTCACTACCAACTATAAGCTCCAGATGCAGCTAAACCAGCCACACAAAAGCACCGCTGAAATAAAAAACAAGACTTGTTTGGAGCTCTCAGAATAAGGGGAAAAGGATAACTTCAGGAAGGGTCTAAGACCATATTATCTCTACACATTATTAACGCTGAAAGGCAACCCAATTTCAGGGATTCTGTTCTCTTACTTCTTACTGTCTCTACTGCATTCAAACAAATCAGAAGCGGGGGGTGTCTTTCAGTTGGGATTGAGGCACCTGGGCAGGCAACTCAGCTGTGTTTTAAATTGGGGAAAGTACCTGGCATAAAATGGTGCTCACTAAAGGTTTCACTCCAAGGAAGTTCCATGAGCAGCCATGAAATGGAAATGTTAATTTTTAAAAAATTAGTTCGTGGTCAAAGAGGAATATTCGGTATCAACAGCAGATTCTTCTAGACAATGCAAGGCAGTACGGTGCAGACATTGTCAGCCCATGGACTGTGGAGTTAAGGAGTTAAGGACTTAATTTTAGACCTCTGCTGCCATGCTTTGGACCAGGCCTAGGCCAGCTTTAGGTAGGCACACTTCAGCAATGCATTTATCACTCAGGGCTTCAGCTCATTAACTTGAGAAATGGACATTAATGCTTTCCTAGCAAGGTTATCATTTAGACTAGAGAGAAAGCTTGTACATACAGTTCTAACCTAGTGCCTGGCACATAAAAGCTGCTCAAAAAAGCAATACTTGTAATTCCTTTAAGAAAAGTCAGCAGAAAGGGATTATTGACCAGTTCCCTCAAAATACCTCTCCACTGTAAACTTTGCTAACAAGCTATCTGTGATGCACAGCCCTGCAACAGGGCTGATCCAACAGAGCAAGGTCTAGTCCCCTTCTCCTAAGGTTCTAGACACTTAACAGAGATCCATCACATCAGTCAGGAAGGGCAACATACCAGGGTGCTTATCGAACTACAGATTTAGACGTTTCCTTTTTCTAGTGTATTTGAAGCATAAATCCAGAAACAAACTTATTCATTTTATGTGTTGAGTGCCCAGAGCAACACCATCAGTGTTTAGAAAGTGAATTCCACCTTTAAGCACTAAGGGAACCAGGCATGTAATACATTAATTTCTCTTCAGTGCCTGTGAAACGGTACTATTCTTTGGGAACACTGAGAAAACAGTTACTCCGATCAATGCCTGTGGCCTTGAGAAGGAGTGTCCTATTTAAAGAATATACCTATTTAGAGAATATACCATTACCTGCTGCTAAAGGCTGCTAATAATCTTGATTTATTTATGTTTCTTCATACTCCAAGAATTTGGGGTGGTTACCAAAGATCTATCAGTTTGGTGCACCCGGCTGAGTAAGTGTCCTGTAGAGTCACCATGAGTTGGAATCGACTGCCTGGCAACTAACAACTGTTGGACATGGCTCACGCATTCAATACTAGCAGATCCTTTGAATAAGCCACGTGGGTTAGAACCTATCCCTTTAATACATAGCATTCTGAAAGAATGAGCCCACGAAAATTTGAAGGTCCTTCGGCACTGCTTGGACATTTTAAGTTTCTCCAACATCCTTGTCGTTGAAGATAATACATTAACGCACTTCCCAGGAGAGAGGGAGGAAAAGCGTTAAGTTTCGCTTTCGAATGTCCTCTGTCACCTCTCAGCTTTCACGCCAGCTTCTTCTACACATCCTCTCGCCCCAAGAGTACGACAGTGGGGACTCCGCCAGCGCCGAAATCGGACTTGGCAACGCGGAGGCGGTGGCCCCCTAGTATCCTGGGGAATGTAGTTTCCGGGGCGCGTAGCGGCTACGTCCCAGAAAGTCCGTGCCCACGAGAGGCGGAAGGAGGGCGCCTGGCACGGCTGCCTTGGCGGGAGCCTCTAGCCGCTTCCCAGCCCAAACTCTCCGGCCGAAAGGGTCTTAACGCGCCGCAGCTACACTTACTTCTTACTCAGTTTCGGTTCGCCGCCGTCCACTTTCACCTCAGCGTCCTGCACCGCGGCCATCTTTCCAGAAGGCCCGACCTAAAAGGGACCAGGGTCCCACGGCGATTTCCAGGGCAGATTGAGAAGCCCCGCCTCTTCCGGGGAAGAGGGGGCGGGCGCCTTTGGCGCGCAGCCCTTACTGCGCAGGGCTTCGCGGCCACGGCTGGCTTGTGGCGCCTCAGGGTTGTAGACTTCTACCCACCAGCTCCTTGAGTGCCGGGCATCAACTATGGCAGACGCCATGGATTTGGGCAAAGACCCCAACGGGCCCACCCACTCTTCGACTCTGTTCGTGCGGGAGGATGGCAGCTCCGTGTCCTTCTATGTGCGTCCCAGCCCGGCGAAGCGCCGGCTCTCGACGCTCATCCTGCACGGCGGCGGCACACTCTGCCGGGTGCAGGAGCCGGGGGCCGTGTTGCTGGCCCAGCCCGGGGAGGCACTGGCCGAGGCTGCAGGCGACTTCATCTCCACGCAGTATGTCTTGGACTGCGTGGAGCGCAACGAGCGGCTCGAACTGGAGGACTACCGGCTGGGCCCGGCGGCGGACCAGGCCCCGGAGACAAAGCCCGCGGCTCAGGCTGAGGGCGCCGCTGCCGCCGTGGAGCCCAATCCAGAACCGCTCGCCGGCCGAATCTCCTTCACCGAAGCGGACGACGTGGCCATCTTGACCTACGTGAAGGAAAATGCTCGTTCGCCTAGCTCCGTCACCGGCAACGCCTTGTGGAAAGCGATGGAGAAAAGTGCTCTCACCCAGCACTCGTGGCAGGCCTTGAAGGACCGCTACCTCAAGCACCTGCGGGGCCAGGAGCATAAGTACCTGTTGGGGGACGCTCCTGTGAGCCCCGCCTCCCAGAAACTCAAGCGGAAAGCGGAGCAAGACCCCGAGGCCGCGGATAGCGGAGGTGAGCCCTCTGCTGACACCTGTGGCGGTTGTCGGG